ATCCCGATATATTGCGATACTATAAGGAAGGCGATATATTGCGATTGTTTTGTCCAAAAATTCTATTAAATAAAAACCTCTTACTGAAAAAAAAAGAAAAGCTAATGTTTACTTACAATGCTTACATTGTCTCCTACAATGCTAATGCTATCCTTACTCTCTGGCGCTCAAGAGGTAGAGGAGCCAAATGGCTGGCTCCCTACTTGCAACTAGTGGTCAGAGGATGAACTACAACATAAAAATGAACGGTTGGCAAGAAGGTTGACATTTTAAACCTTAATTAAAAATCGATACAGGGCTTTAGAATATCGATACAGTATTGGGAAATGAAATATCACGATATTTCAGTGTATTGATATTTTCTTACACCCCTGGTCAAAACGCAATCCCTGGGGGGCAGTGAGACCCAACTTTTTTATGTTAACATGCATTTTCTGAAAGACTGGACCCTAAGGCAGGGCTATTCAACTGACGACCCGCGGGCCAGTGACCAAAGTTCGGCCCGCCAATTGGTTCATTCATCTCTTAAGCCCAAACCCCTGGTTTTCTACTTTAATTACTATAAGTTCTTTTAGATGGACATAAACATGTTTGGTGTCTACAGAAACATCAGAACCTTGGCTAGAAGCTGGTAAAAAAACATTTTTCCATGAACCATGAACACTCAAGACAGTTAAATTTACAAACAGTTGAAGATAAAACTATGAAAGTGAAAATAAAATTGGTTTTAAAATTTGGCAAGTCAGATATGTCAAAATAATATTTGTGGTAAATAAATAGGAGGCATAATGTGCTCTATTTATTTCTGATATTGCTTTATTATCACTACTTTTATAGGGTTCTGTATGTTGTATGCATGTTTAAACGCAGCAAAATAAACTATTTCAGAGGTAACAGATCATAACTTAGTTTATTTACACTTTAATTGCTGGATGTTCGGCCCCTGAGCTGTTAAACTGCAGTAACTGTGGCCCCCGGAGCAATTTAGCTGAATAGCCCTGCTCTACCCAGAAAGGTCCTCGGGCTGGGATGCAATGAATCCGACAACCTTCTTGCTGAAAGGCAACAGCTCTTATCAACTGAGCCACATCATATACAGTACGATAACAAGGCAGAATGAAAACAAGCAAAAGTGAAATAGAAATGAGATACTTTTCACATTTTTCAAAAATAAGAAGTAGAAAGTACAAATAATTGCTTAAAATGTAAGAAGTAGAAGTAAAAAGTAGGCTGAAAAGTAATTGCTGCAGTAAAGTATAACCAAAATTACTACTTAAGCAAGGTAACAAAGTATTTGTGCTTCACTACTTGACAACTCTGCTAATTTATTATTATAATTAGAATTTATTTACAGTTAGAATGTATGTTTTTTCCTCTGATTCTTTACTTTTTGCTTTTTTCTTGTTGGTTCTGTCTGTGGCTAAAACATGTTCTATGGCCCAGTAAGTGGTTCTGAAGCAGCCCTCCCCCCTCCTTCCTTCACTAGACCTGCTGCTCGCGTCTTATTTTTTATTTTATTCCTTTGTCCTAAACATTTTTGCTGCTTAACAAATAGCTTTGAGCCTCAGTCAGAAAAAAGAGGGTTTGTTTGTTTGTTTGTTTGTTTTTTTCTGGCCTGAGAGGAAGAAACAAATGGTGGACTGAGGTGTTTTTTTTCCCCACGGGACACGTTTTATCCTCGCGATGCGGTGTGCATCAAATCAGACCACCATTTTCAAAATAAAATATGCCATATACTTTTTATCATAACTTTCTCTCTACTTGGCCTTCGAGTACAATTTAAAAACTGGTTGTTAGTTTGAAGTCTTACTTTTGTCTCTAGAGTCTCAGAGGGGGAGGATCTTTACAGGTACAGTTTTCTTTCTTCCTAAACTTTATTTAGGTCAGCCAGCATTGACGACGCTCTGCGGGTGACGTAAACGGCTCCGCGACATGGCGAGAGATGCATAAATCACGTGACACAACGAATCAATAATGAAATTTATTGCCAATGCTTTTAATAATCAGTTTTCATCGATTTTATTGATTCGTTGTTGCAGCCCTAAAGTAAATAAATAAAAAGCATTAATAGTTTGGGTTTAGCTAGACAGTGCGCACTTAATAAATAATTTGCAGGGTTTGACAAATGGGACTGCCCGAGGCCGGTAAAGTGTATAGCTATTCAGACAGGTGGATGTGTCCTGCTGCCTGCCTGACTGGATGTGGTAACTATATCTTTTGTTTTGGCCATTTAATCAAAAATGTCTGGAAAATAAATAAAATATAGCATTTTAAAGCACATAGATAGAGGATAAATCTTCAGTTTCCCCCTCCCGCTGTAGTATAACTATGTTGCGTATAAGTGAAATATTGTGTCACTGGGATTATTTCTCCCTTACACCGCATGTCGCGCAGACCAAAACATTAATAACTGTAGTTCGTATATTTTTGTTTTTATTTCTAATTATGTCAGTTTTGGTCCTCCATATCCTGTAGGGGATACTTTGGGAACATGGAGTCTCAGGTCCACTACTTAGAACTATTCAACCCAAATACAACTGGTGTAAAAGAACGTGTTTACTGAAACTAAAGT